GTATGTATATATACACACACATATATATATACACACACATACACATTTATAAATATATACATATATATCAGCTCTTTCTGTGGTGGCAAGGAATTGAAAATTTAGGGGATGCTAATCAGTTGAGGAATGGCTGAACAGCTTGTGGTATGTGATTGTGATGGAGCACTATTGTGCTATAAGAAACGGGGGGGGTGGTTTCAGAAAAAAAGTTGGAAGATCTATATGACATGATGCAAAGTGAAGTGAGAAGAACTGGGAGATCATTGTGCCCAATAACAGCAATATTGTAATGGTAATCAACTGTGAAAGACTTGACTACTCTGATCAAAATAATGATCCAAGATAATTCCAAAGCACTCATGATAAAAAAAAAATACTATTCATCTCCAGAGAGAGAACTGATGAACTCAGTGCAAATTGAAATATAATTTTCTTTCTTTCTTTCTTTCTTTTTGTGATACAGCTTACATGGAAATATGTTTTGCATGATTTCATATATATAATTGTTATTATTTTGCTTGTGTCCTCAGTAAGTGGGGGAGGGGTAGGAAGGAGGGAATTTGGAACTCAAAATTTTTAAAAACTGTTAAAAACATAAATAATTTTTAAAAAAGCAACATTGGAAGAAAAAGGAAGAGAAAGATAGAACTTTTGCATGGGATGGATGAGAGAATAACTGACAACTGAGGAAGGCAGAGCTGCTCCATTATTTTTTCTTTGCCAAGGAGGATGGCCTGTGCTGGAAATGACAGAACACAAATGACTAACAGGGAATTGACATAGAACACACGGCTGCTCTCTTAGTTTGAGTCACTTGGTCCACACGGATGACACTGTTAGTTAGGAAATGACCCGGCACATGTTATTGCTGAGCCTCTATCAGTGATATGGGGAAGAATGTTGAAAAGCGAGAGTGCTCCCACATGAGCAGAAAAGGACAAACGTCCAAATTTCACCAAAAAAAAAAAAAAAACCAAAAAGGAAGGGAAGAGAGTCAAACTATTGGACAGTGAGCTCTGCTTCAATTCCTGAGAAAATTCTAGAACAGATCGTTAAAGAGACAGTTGGAGAACATCTAGAAGAGGATGATAACAAAGGGCCAGCGTGGCTAAAGGACGGACCATACCAGACTAACCTTATTTCCTCTTTGGACAGGATTGTTAAACTAGTAGATCAGGAGAATGCAGAGGACGTAGTTTGCCTAGACTTTAGCAAAGCATCTCATGCTATTCTCGTGGAAACCATGGAGAGATATGGATTAGAGGAGAACTCAATTAGACGGATCTAAACTGGTTGAAAGGCTGGACTCCAAGAGTGGTTGTTAATGATGCATTACCCACATGGGAGGAGGTTTTTCATACATCGTCTTCTCTCCGTTAACAGTTACCACCCTAGTGGTATTGGCAATAACCTCTGAATTGATCCTTTTGTCTTCAATTCTTCAATCCAACCTATGTAGCTTCCGAAATGGTCTTTCTAAGACACAGATCTGAGGCAAGTTATTGGACTTCTTTGAGCCTAATTTTCCTCGGTAATAAAATGAGGGGGTTGAAATAGATAATAATAATAGATGTCATTTAAACAGCATTTTAAAAGCGTTAGATTATGGTAGCTTAGATTTAAAGCTGGAAGAGACCTTGGGGGGCATTTGGTCCAACCCTCTCATTTTAGAGATGAAGGAACAGAGGCCCAGGGAAGTTAAGTGATTTTTTTCCCAATGTCCTTTAAGTAGTAGGTAGCAGAGCCCAGATTTGGACTCAGGTCATCTCATTCCCTATCTGCTGTTCTTTGAATTTCACAACAACTTCATGATAAGTGATCTACAGGATTAATTATCCTCTTTTTACAGATGAGTAAATGGCTCAGAGAGATTTTCAGTGGATTATTCATGGACATTCACGGACAAAGCTAGTTAAGTGTCAGAGGCAGGATTCAAACTCTGGCTTATCCTGACTCCAAGTCCAGTCTTCTTTCTGAATAGAGCACTGGACCTGGAGTCAGGAAGCCCTGAGTTCAAATCCTACCACATACACTTACTAGCTGTATGGCCCTGGACAAGGCAGATGTCCTTATCTGTAAAATGGGAATAGTAGCAGCAACTACGTTGTAGTGTTTTTTTAAGGATCAAATGAGATAACACGTTACAGCATCTTGCAAATCTTAAATAAATGCTGGCCATTATTATTATACCATGTTCTCTCCCATCTGTTACGCAAGCTCTAAAACTTATGATTCTTTAAACTGGTTTCCAGGACTCCATTCCCTCTATATTCCAGTCCATTCTCTACAGCAGATCACGTTCCCTTGATAATCATATCACTTTGCTATATAATTTTCAATAGTTCACCACTGGTTACAGAGCAACCTGCCAATCCTTGGGCTAGTATTCAAGACCATCCATAAGTGGGCCCCAGTTAGACATTAGCTTTCTAATTCTGACTTCCTGTACTTCCTTACGAGGGTTGCCCACTTCAGCCAGACTCGTCTAATTCCTGTCCCTAGTGCACTCATGCAGAGACCTGTTCTTTTTTCCTTTGTTCGCATCATTTTCCCCAAATGGAGCATTTATGCCTATGCAAATCTTCCTCATCCTTTGAGGCCCGCTCCAAGAATGTAATAACGAGGTCTTGGTACATCTTGAATCACTGAAGGTATTCAAAGAGCTGTGACCTGACATCATCTCCCAATCCATTTGCACACAGCATATAGATCATGGCCTATGTCTAAAATCACAGAGACGTGGTGACGTTCCCCGCAGGAGTCCATGCCTCTCAGGTACTTGCATGCAGGGTTTTTTATGGAGACTGACTCACTGTCTCGTTTACATGGAGCAGGGCTGACTACAGATTAGGGTATTAAGATGTCCCATAACTATTAGATTTAAACACCAGCATAAGGAAACAAAGAGCTATAAAGCAGCATTGGAATGTCACCACATAAACCACAATAAACTCTTATTGCCCATGGCTAGCAGGAGACAAAATATTATTCCAGAATATGAGACAGAAAGTAAAGCTATTTTGGGACAGTGCATATACGTTCATTTTTCCAAGGGACTAAATGGTGCCATGGTGGCCGATGACAGTGATTGAACCTCCAGAAAGGGAAAAACACACACACACACACAAAAGCAGGGCAATTAGTTGTGTGATAAATCCTGTCTTGGGAAGTGTTGAATCAAAATAAAAAAATCTGTCATGTACACATGAATTTGAAATAGGGCTCATTAGAAAGTGAATTTGCTATCTTCAGTCTAAATGAAATGTGCAACCATATGCTTTTATATGGATTTTGATGCATATGACAAAGCCAGCAGTTAATGCCAAGTTTGCAACCATTATAGAAAATAAAGCAGATCCACACAGGGAGGCAATGTAGCAAAATGGAATGAGCTTTGGGCACTGGGTTCCAATTTTGCTTTGACATACTAGCTATGTGACAGAGAGCAAGCATTTTACCTCTTTCAGCCTCAGTTCTGTCATCTATAAAATGGGTGTAAATAATACATAGATTACCTACTTCATGGGGTTATTTTGAAGAAAATGCTTTCTTAGTGTTAAAGTCTTCTATAAATTAAAGTTATTATTACATATTACTTTATTGTACAAATCACAATTTTAAAAATTGGGTTTTTCTAGATATATCTTGGAGATTCATAATTAATTTCAGCTAAAAAGAAAAACTGAAAATGACCTTTTCTGGTTGTGCTTTAGTAATGCTGGGTCTGTGACTATGTCATTAGATTCTCATTTATGTGTATGATTGGGGATCTAACCACAGAGGGCCTGGTTGGTAGGGAATGAGGGTCATCATAGATTTTGTTATTAAGCTTGAAGGGAGACTTCTGGTGGCACAGTGGATAGAGCTTGGGCCTGGAGTCAGAAAGACCTGAGTTCAAATCCAAACTCTATGTAACCCTCAGAAAGTCACTTAGCTACTGTCTGCCTCAGTTTCCTCATCTGTAAAATGAAGTCCTTTAGAACTTCGAGGTTCAGAGGCAGTGTTGCTTCTCATGCTTCCTGGGTGGAGATTGGTACATCTAAGGGAGGGAAGCTGGTGAGAATGTGATGTGTATGTAGTTCCTACAGGCCTGAAATTAGAAAACAGAGCCTGGCATTTACCACTAGAATGCTGGGCCACATAGGGCTGGCCCCAATTATAAAGGGAGAGTAGAGGTTCTCATTTCAGTGGGTTGTCAAATTCTGAGAGAGTCCTATTTCCCCTTCATACCCTTTGGAAATCATAAAGACAAGGCTAAGAAGATTCCATCATCCTCCCCTTCTAACCAGGTCATGAGATATAAGAGGGTCCCAGTTGAATGACAAATATATCAACATGGCCAGTGCCATTGAAGTCTCCTGCCAGTGAAGGTTATCAGAAATGGAAAACAATTAGCAAAGTAGTAGAACTGCCTACCTTGTGGTGCCAGAATCACTTTCAACTCTGAGGGCTTCAAGAACTCTGAGAGGCCACTGAGCATCTCATAAGAGGGAGGTCGTATTGGGTGTTCCAAGAAAGGCAGGGCATATTATAGGCTTATGTAATCAGGAACCAATATCCCTTTATCTATGGTGCTGCTAATTTTTCTAGCACTATCCTAGAGGAGAGAAGGTCAGTGGGAAATGGGCAGGCTTGTTTACAAGCTAATAATGCCTAGATTATTCTTGACCTGAAAAGTATGCATAGTCTTCACACTGCAGTCAAATATAACCCCGTACTCTGAGAGAACCTTGGAGTGTAGAAACTCATGTCGGAGTCTGAGCAGCGTTGTATTGGAATCTAGACAAACTTAAAGGCCAGACTGAGAATTGCCCCTACCTCGTGGAAAATTAGCAAAAGTTTCCACTGGGTGAGTCTGGATTCTCTAGGCAATGTGAGGATTTCCTGCTACCCAACTGTTGCTGCCTCCCTCCCTCTTGCCTATACACAGTCCTTCTTTCCATAAATTCAGTCTAGTCCTGGAATTATGCCAAGAGCTTCAGAAGACTGGACTAACTCACCAAGGATGGCAGAATTCCCAGGACTCAGGACCAGCTGTGTTCCCAGAGGAGAAGTCAGCACAGAGGGAAGGTTGGGTCCATTGGCTGAAAGCAGGGCCTTCATGTTTTCCTCTTCAGAAGGGGGATGGGGTGGATCTGTGAGCAGGGAAATGATGAATCAGAGCTGGCTAAAACATTAAAAATCTACTACCTTTAGGAGTGGTGGGGAAGAGGAAGAGGTTAAGTATTAAAAGGTAAGGTATTTCTATTGCTGGCTTCTGAGAGGCACCTCTCTAGAGGAGACATCCACACTTCCACTGGGGTTGGGATCTGAGTTACAGGCTTAATATACTATGCCTGAAAAAACAAGGCTGCTTCTGAGAATTGGGCACATTTCTGTACAGATGTTCCTTACTTTGCGCCAAAAAATGTGTTTCTGAAAACACAAATTGAGTTTTTGTCAATCAAACCATATTTGGATAATCTTGCGGTGTTTATAAGCAAAAAACTCCCTTTAGAAAACTTAATAGTTAGCCATCTTCCCATTTCCCACCTCTGGGCATTTGAGCAGGCTGCTTTTATGCCAGGAACACACTCCTTCCTCAAATTTCCTTGCAGCACACTGTTCAGATCTCTCCTTTGCCCTCATCATGCCCTACCTTGCATTATGCTTTGTTGTGTTCATGTCCTACCCTTTCCCTCAGGAGAATGTAAGTTCCTTGAGAAATGACTGAGTTGTCTTTGTCTTCTCAGTCTAGCACAGTGATTTGCACATTGTTAAGTATTTAATACATTTTAGCTGAAATGAAATAAGTTTGCTTTGTAACTAACAGCTGAATGACCAAGGAGAAGTGATTTAACCATTCTGTGTCTCTGTCAAATGAGGAGGTTGAACCAGATGCTTTTCAAGGTCCCATTAATCTCAAAAATTCTCTGAATTCTACACGTCAGTTAATGGTATCACCAACCTAAGCCCAAGTCTTCCCCTCCTTAAATTCTTTGAAATACAGGGTATCCCAAAAGTCTTAGTGTCTTTGTAAGCTTTAAGATGGCTTTATGTTATATCTAAAAGTTCTTATGATGGGAGCTATACCATATGTTTCTTCTATGTTCAGCCTCCTGCCCCATGCCTATAGAGCTCACAGTGAGTCCTCAATAACTGTTTGCTGAATGAATGTAGGTCTGTGTTATTATACTACAAACAAACCTCTTGAGTCTCAATAGTTGGCACTAGGTCTCAGCTTTTTGAAAAAAAAAATTCCACTTAAAAAATTTAAACTGGTTTTAAACGATTAAAAAAAGAAAATGAAACCACTTTTTATATTCAGAAAGTGCCTAGAATAATGAATGAACTGTGATCAATAAACCAAGGTTATTTCTGATAAAAAAAAATGCCCTGGAGTAAGAATTTAAATAGCAATTTTCCGTCAGATTTGATTAAAGTGGGGAAGAAGTAACATTCCCCAAACAGTCTTTTCACCCGCTTTTCAATGGCACCGTAGTGCTAAACACAAGTTCACAGAATGTACACACTTCATTACCAGACCTACAGTAGCAGCTACACACCCTGGTTAATCTTTCATCTCTCCATTAGTAGAAAGTGATGGGGAAGTGTTATTAGGGAGGAAAACTCCATCAGTAAGTACCATAAATCAGTGAGGGGTAATGGTCCCACCCAGGCTCTGGGCTCAACGGCTTTTTGAGTCCAATCGTCCGGCTAGAAGCTCAGCCCATGACTGTGAAATTGAACACAAAGTAAACTTCATCCTTCACTGAACTGAGTTATTGTTGCTTTCTGAGATGATTTGGGGCTTATATAGTCGCTGGTGAGCTGCAAACCCTACTGGGGCACTTGGTGAGTTACCATGAGTAGTCTTTTGGAAGCCAGAGTGAGCAGAGACTTCACACCAGCAGTTTGGCGAAACTAAAGCCTAAATTATTTCTTTCTCATACTAAATCATTTCCATTCTAATAATAGCCCTATTTGTAGGTGGGTAGGTACATAGGTATAGCCCTCTACTAAAGCTAAGACCTTACTATGGTATGGAGGTGCTTCTGGATTCTTAAAGACTTTACTGGTAGAGCAAGCTCTGCTAGGCATTACCAAATTGAATTAAAGACCCAGTGATGGAGGATATCTGTCTGTCTATCTGTCTATCCATCGCATCCATCATCCAAGCAGCTAGCCTGGCTTAGATCCAGAGAGCCTTATTTCCAGGTAGACTGCCTGGTTATGAATTTTTCAATCATGTCAACTCTCGACCATCTATTAAGTTACAAAGAGGTTGCAATTTGTGTTAGTGAAACCAATGAAATTATGGTAAAACAGATTCTTGAAGTATTGAATTAACGTGTGTATGTGTGTAAATATAAGACCATTTTTATTGCTGTATTTCCCTTGGATAACTGCAGGTGTGTTAGACGTGGCGTTTACTTGACAACTCTAGTAGGCCCTAGACATGAATTGATGTCAGGAACTTTTTTTTGTTTGTTTTTAGGCAATTGGGGTTAAGTGACTTGCCCAGGGTCACATAGCTAGTAAGTGTCAAGTGTCTGATTTGAGGCTGGATTTGAACTCAGGTCCTCCTGACTCCAGGGCTGGTGCTCTATCCACTATGCCACCTAACTGCCCCTGTGTCAGGGACTTTTATCTGTGATGCAGGCTGATTTAATCAGCACTCTGAGCCAGAGCAGGAAGTGGGGACATAAAGGTAGGGACAGGGTGACTGACATGTCCATAAGTGCAGCCTCTAACTCTGAAGGGATTTTGGTGAGCTTCATCTGACCTATTCTTGACTGGTGTATTTGTAAGGGTCTCTAACTCCCTTTGCCTTACTGGGTACAAAACTCTATAGGCCTGGCTAGCTAGTCCATCCAGGAGCAGTTATGTATGTAGCTTTCTTTTTACTGGGGAAGATAAAGATGGAAACTCAACCCAGCATTTGGCTGTGCATCATATGTGCACACATTGTCTTTACTCTCCTCTTGGGAATGAGGATGCCCTAATGGTTTGTATGTTATTCAGCAAATATTACAGTTAGTCTAAGATGGTTGAGCACAAGTCTCTGTTCCTTGATGTTCCAAATCTTATTACTGTAAAACCATATATTTAAATTCTTTCCATCCTTTGACTGTCCAGGGCAAGGGAGAAGTTAGGGGAAGTTTAGGTTACTCTGACTGTGTTTGGTGAGAGCACGGAGAGAGGGAGGGGAAGCCGGTGTGGATGCTTTCAACTGAAATCCTGTCCACAGGCAGTTGACCTTGCAGGTGTTTGTTTACCTAGGATCACTAGCTGGGTGTTTTCGGTCACTTCTCCATGAAGATTGACTGCTCTGCAGGAGTAGAGCCCCTGATCAGAAAAGGAGACATTTGTAATCGTCAGGGAGCCATCGTGCAGGTGGTGAAGGGGAGCCAGTTTGCTTTTATTCCCGAACCAAGTGACTTCTACTTCAGGCACACCTAGGAAGAAAAAAAATAAACTCATGAACACAAAATGCAGAGCAGGTGAACAAGGAGGCATTCACGGTCACCTAGCCAGAGAGAGCCTGCCCTTGATACCCGATTGCCTGTGCAGGGTCACTCCTTTAACTTCTCTCTAGATTCTCTCAAAATGCCTGTGCAGTTATTTACTTCAACAAAGAACTAAGGGGAGGTGTCCTTAACTATGAGGAAATTGAAGTGGAAAGTTAGAAACAATACATAAATAATACACACAGTATATCTATCTATCACACAGTCACCCTGTTTATACTCTTAATATGAAACTCTTTTAAAAGTTCTTATGGGGGAAGGGTCTGTTTTTGGGGCTCCTATTAAAGGGGGTAGCTACCCCCTAGTCATAGAGTTATAATTAAGGGTGTGCTGAAAAATGTTTAACAACTGACTCTCCAAAAACATGTATCCATAACCCACTTCTAAATTTAATTTGCATCATCAACATTTTCACCATCACTTTCTTAAGTGTAAGCAATCAACAAAATAGTAAATTGAGCCCTAATTTGTAGTGTTTGCCAAATTCCAAGGTGTACATGCTCACAACAAAAGTTAACAATTGGCTTTCCTGAGGTGGCTTCAGCACACAAGTGGTATTAATATTTTAATGAGGTGGTTGGCTAAGAGCACCTTGAGCTCTTTGGAAGAAAAATTGTTATAAAAACAAAACAAAATGAAACAAACCCCAAGAGTTACCTACTACCTTTACGATAAAATATAAACATCTCTGTCTGGCATTTTAAATCATTCACAACCTGTTTCCAACCAATCATTCCAGGCTTATTATACATTACTACCATCCCCCACCCCCTTATACACATTCTGTGGTCCAGCCAAACTGACCTTCTTGCACTTCATAAATTACTGTCAGATTTTGCCCAGGTTCCCCCCCCACCCTCTCTCACCATGCTTGTCCTGTACCGCCTCCTTCCTTCCATGTCTTAGAATCCTTAGTTTCGTTCAAAGCTTGACCCAAGCACCCGTGAATCTTTTCATGATTACACCAGATGCTCGTACTTCCCCTCCCCCAATTACCTTGCATTTATTTTTTGTATTTCTATATGATGAACATGCTGTCTTCTGTGAAAGAAAAAAGAATTCTATCTCCTGACTCTATTACTTTGGTCAGGGCAATAATTTGCTAAGTCTGAAATGTGCTCCTTCCTTATACCTTCCTTGAAGAATCTTTGGCTTCTTTCAAAATACTGCTGAAGGGACACCGCCTATGTGAGATTTTCCAGATCCATCCACTGAAATTACTTTGTATATACGTAGCGTTGTATTCCTTAGGAGAATATAAGCTCTACGAGGGCAGGAACTGTTTCATTTTTGCTTTTGTCTTCCCAGCAGTATTTTATACATGATAGGTGTTGAATAAATATTGAATTAAATACCATACTGCCCTCTACCCATTGCTTGCTTATTTTTTTTTCCTTCCTTTAACAAATATTTATTGGTCCCATTTGGGGCTAAATAGTGAACTTTCCCTTTGCCCAATCTATAACAGGTCCTGGCTGCTCAGGCTCCTCAGATTTGAGTTTCTTCTCAGACAATAACGCTTCTCTTTGTTGGGAGCTGTTGCCTCATTGCCTTGTGTGTGTTCACCCATTTATCTGGCAGCTGCTCTTGATTTAGTCTGTGTTTCCTTCCTCCACTTGCTGGTTTGAAGATGGGCAGCCCAAGTGTTTGGCACATCTGAGATCTCTCCTCTGATCACCTGGGCAAAAGATTGATTTGTTCTCTTCTTTTATTCTGCTGATGAATCATAATGGAATCAAAACCACCTGGAACCAGCACGTTGGCTGGGGAAGAGGGAATTTTCCCCGTAAAGGGATGAGTAGTTACAGTTTTCTAGAGTCCCCTCACATCAGTAGCTCATGCAGATTTGCTGCAATCAAATGGCCCGCGTGTTTATTTGAGAAGTCTGACCGGCATGTCTCCTCCACATATAGACAGATAACAGGTGAGGTTGAGTGGGAGAACCTGCTGTTTCAGGTATCACCACTAGGGAGAGCAAGAGCATTACATGAACTAAACAATAACGACTTGATCTTAGAAGGAAAGAACCTTTATACCAAAGCTCAAGATGTATTTTGAGTTTTTAGTTAAATTTTAAAAGAAAAACTTAATACCAATTAGGAGAGGAATGACTGTGCAAAGTAAGCTGCAAACAAAGGTCCCTGGCCTTATTCTCTCCGGTAAAAACAAGAAAAAAGAGGTCACCTAAAAAGAATACCATCTGTAGCCAATTCTTTTATTGGGCTTTGAATTGTCCTTTTCTACATGGACTGTATAGGTCTCCACTTAGGAAGGGGTCTGGACTTTCAGCTTTTATTCCCTTTGAGGAACTAATGACTTCCAAAGAGCATGTGATTCACAACAAGGGAGCCTGCCTAGATGGTTCTTTGGTTCTATCAATAAATGCTTTTTGAATGAACAAATGACCTCAGCTCTCAACCTGACTTCACTTAGAGCATGGGACCAATGTTTGCCTCTCTTTGTGAAGGCATGCCTGTTTTCATAGCAGTGCCCCCCGAAACCCCAATCCCTTTCTCCATATTCTTAATTCCAGAGAGATCCCAAAGCTATAGATTTAGATGTGTTAGATTACATGCTGTAAAACTGATTTCTCATTATGTCAGATAGCATGGTTTGGCCACAAAGAGAAATAGATAAAGAATGAAAACAGTGTTGGACTTGGAATCAAGAAGTATGTTTGAATCCTGCCTCAGACGCTTACTAATTGTGTGACTTTGGGCAAGTCACAAACTTCTTTGAGTCTTGGTTTCCTAATCTGTAAAATGAGGGTAATAATAATATCTTGTTTGCAAGTTTGCTGTGAAAACCAAATGAGTCTTAAAGTGCTTTATAGTGTCTATATGAATGAACTATTATTAGGTGAGGAGAACACAGTACAGCTTGGATATTAGCACCTCCACCTGGTTTGCATCCATTCCTGAAAGTCCTAGGATTTAGAACTTGTAAGGAAACTTAGGAGTCATTTGGTTCAACTCTCATTTTAAAGAGTAGGACATTGAGAATCAAAGAATGGAAGTCTCTTGTCCATGGTCAGTTACATGGGTAGAGCAAGGAGCAGAGCTGTGATTTAAACCTAGGTCCTTTTTATTTTATTCCAGTGGTTCTTTTCATCATACCATGTTGCTTCGGATCTCATCAGTAACATTTCTATATGTTTATTCACATTTTCCTTTTGGCCTGTTACGTTCTCCCCCATCACATCTGCCTGCTGAAATCCATCAAGGTGCAACTTAAGTACCAGCTCTTCCATTAAGCCTTCCTCAACCCCTCCTCAACCCCACAGAGAAAAGTGTTCTCTTCCTTTTAAGAATATTCATGACGATGTGTTTGTATGTCTCTTACGTAGTTACCAAATTCCATTGTGTTATAGTTATCTGAGCATGCATCTTATATCCCCAATTAAATGGTATGCTTCTTGAAGAGACTTCAAATTTTGCTTATCTTTATATGTTCCCTCAGTACCTCCCACAAACTTCTGAACAAAAGAAGTTCTTCATTGAATTTAGTATTTCAATGAATAAAAGAATGAGTAACTTCCATCACCTTATACATGTCATCTCTGTTTGTAAAACGGGTCATTCAGACTGTCAACAGAACATGGCATTTATATGTTATAAAATGGATTCTTGAAAGCATTGGACTAACAAATTTGGAAAACTGCATTTAAAATCAAGAAGCCTGGGTTGAAATTCTGCCTTCTCTATTTAATTGTGTGACATTGGACAAGAAAAAAATTGGGTAGAAAAAAATGAATAAGGAATCACAGAATTCTGGGAGGTATCTCTTTTATAGAGATGATCAAAAATAGGTTTTGAAAGCTTTACTCTTACTCTTTTATTTGTCACAAGTACCTTAAATATTGACCTTTGTGTATCTTGAAACAGTCCTATCTATTTATTTGTGTTTCGCTCACACTGCCACTTGTATGAGAGACCCTCACTCCTACAATGCTTTCCCTCTCAAGTACACTTTCCCTCTCCAGGCCTCAGTTTCCTCATCTGTTTATAGGTGGTTGGACTAGGTGATCTTCTAACATCTAACCTCCATTACTTCATGACTTGTTGCCTCACCCCCACCCATAAAATGGGACATCCAGTTGACTTGGCTGTTATGTATTATAAAGTGGGTTGGAAACATCAGGAGAGAGATGCTATGTCAGTGGATGGAATGGCGTTTATATTTTTTAAAAATAGAGAAAAGGCTTGAGGCTGTCTCCATAGTTTTCAAAAAAAAGGACCGTCTGATTGTTTTTTTATGCAGAGGGGTGATCTGCTGTGGCTTAGCGGCACCTATCAGCACATGGCCTCTATCCCAGCCTCTTGGCAGTAGTGGCAACAACAGCAACGGTTCCCATTGAAGAGAAATTCTACAGAAAATCGTTATTTGATTTATTCATGAGCTCTTCTCTCCTGATGGCTTTTATTTAAAGGATTTTTCTACAGGAGCTAGGGCTATACATTCTGACCCGAATATAGACTTGTGTTCTGAACTTTTGGATGTGGCGATATTGGCATGCACACCCACTTTTGGTAAAGCATGATCCGAGCCATCAGCTTGAGTCAAAGAACAACCCTTAGGATGCCTTGTGGAACAATATCCAGCTGTTTTAATGCTGGCTTTGATGTGTCTCAGAGATAATCAGAACAAGAGGGCAGAAAAAAATGAATAAGGAATCACAGAATTCTGGGAGGTATCTCTTT